TTTCAAGAATGAAAGCTCTGTCTGCTGCTCCCAGCACTTTGCCTCTGTGACATATGAATTGTGCCAAATCCATTCTTGGGTTTTTGTTTTTAAGCTCCGAGTACAAGGGTGAAGTGAAAATAAAGTGTGAATAATGGTCTTTTTCTCAAAGGCAACGTGATATTGCGTTGAGCTGAAAAATTTACTCTCCTACAGATCGGCCCTGCCAGTAGGAAGGGCTGATGGATGCTGAGCACGATCCAGCTGATATCTGATACAGGGGAGGGGGGAGGGCTCTCCAGGGTTGCTGACAAAGCTATAACAAGATCCAGGGATGGAAGCTGAAGTTAGGCAAATTCAACCTTGCAATAAAATGCCAGTCGTGAGCATAATAAAATATTACAGCAATTTGTTGGTGCTCGTGATGGATTTGTCGTTAAGGTCTTTATAGTATTTTCTTTTAAAATCAGTCTTCGGTTTCTGGGGGAAATTCTGAGGCCAGCCTGTGAGCTGGAGGATCAGGGTGATCCCCTTTGGTTTTGTAATTGAAGTGCACTTGTTAACTTCCCTTCTTTGCTAGGCCTGAAGGAGAACTATTTACCAGAATTGCCCTTAACAATTCTCACAGCACCCGCAGATCTGCACAGAGATAACTGTTCTAATTAAATCCCATCCTTTAGGACTACATGGGATTGCCCACAGAGATGGGGGGAATTGTGTGCTTTCCTTCCCTTCTCCTCCTTTCCCCCCCATACTTGTTTGGGTTGGATCTTGAGGGCTTATTTTGTGAGAGGTTTTCTTTTCCCCATATTTTTCTTTGCTGTAGCATGGGAGCAACTCACCTGGTGGGATGTGCCTCAGGAAATAGATTGCCCGTGATCACAGTTGCCCTTGTCATTGGTGTTAACCCTGTCAAACCCAGCCAAACCCAACACACTGACACACATCAGGCTCTCCCACCTCCAGCACTCAGCAATCCATTCACTCTGCAGCATTCAACAATCTGTGCTCCTGAGAGCTGCGATGATGTTTGGGTGAAATGGAAGCCTTTGAGCTTCGTGCAGGGATATCTGGATGGAGCTTAATGATGTGGGATATACAAGAAGTCATCTTAGTGAAAGGAGCTGATTCTCTCCTGACCTGAAACTCTTTCAAATATATTAAATTAGAGGCTGTCAAACATAAGATCACTCTGCACATCTCACAGGATTGGGCTCCCTGTTAGTTCCCTGTCTGAAAAGCAGTGAATGCTCAGGTCTGAGAACATCTTCTTGAGAAGAGTGCTCACCTGCAGGCTGTCTGAGCAGCACCAGGGCTGGCTGAACGCCTGGAATGAAATGTTTCTGTTGTTGTGGGCACTGAGGAAACTCGAGAGCAACGCAGGTTTGGGAAATCATTCTACTCAAGAAGCAGCTCTCTCTTCTCGTGCGTTTGGAGCCCTGGTAGTATCACATTCTGTTTTGACAGCTGTCAGAAGTTAAATGAGAGATACTTGGGGAGAGGAGGGTTGAGCTACAGGAGAATTGTTATTTGCGGCGCTCGCCAACAGTTGCAGTTTTCACTTGGTAACACACATTCTGTCTGTTATTCTTTCTCTTTTCTTCTCCTTTGCTCAACTTTTGCACCTTTTACTTCTGGGGCTCTTGTGACAGGGACTGGTGCCATCCAACCCGTGCTACTTTCAGGAGGAAACATCTTTGTGATGCTGTGCATGTGCAGTGCCTGTCCTGCCCTAGTTTTATTCCAGCCCTTCTTCAGTGCCTGCCAGCTTCCAAACTTCTCCTAGTGCCACTGTCCTCCTTTCATCTGCCAAATATAAGCTACAGTTTAGCAGTGAGGAAAAGGGTTTTACACTCACTCTTTCCTTCTTTTTGTTTATTTTTCTTTGTTCTCAGCCGAGTTTATCCTCGCAGATTACTGCAGCAGTTTGCTTGTAGAGGTGACACTCTGCCAAAGGTCCCTCACATAGCTGTATATTAAATACTTGCCCTCAGTGTTTATATTTCAGGGGGAAACATTCACAGGTGTTGGAGCACAGTGGTTTCTATGTTTGCTTTCTGTTTTGGATTCGCGGCCGTAGAAATTAACATTATTTACCCTTTAAATTATTAGAGCTTTAACTCGGGAGAACCTGAAACTTTTTTTTTTTTTTTTTTTGCCCTGTAGTCAACCCTTTTCGTTGTCCCGTAATTGCAAATAAATAACGCTCTCCCAAGGCCGGCTGAAGTTGGCGGGGAGTTTGGAGGGGCTGAGCCCGTGAGAGCGGCTGTTCCTCCTCTGCAGCACACGGGGGCAGAAGGCGCCCGGCCTATGTTCTGTGCTCACCCACTTGGGTGAGTCCTGTCGGATCCTTTCGGCGTGCCGGGGCTTCGGAAAGGAATTCAGCACTTGGGAAAATTAAGTTCTGTTTAATTGCCTGTGCAGGAAGAGCTCATTTTATAGCCGAGTGAGGTGTGCCCGTCCCCAGCTCGCAGGATGTGTTACGGGTGTGGGCAGGATTCACCGAGGTGTTACATCTGACAGGCACTGTGTATGTGCAGTAGTGCAGAAGAGATAATTATATAGCTGGAATATATATAGGCATTTAGCTTTAATTAGGCTTTTGATTAAATATAAAAGTGCAATTAAGAGTGACAGATATAGTAGATCCTGGTAGACGACATGACAGTTTTTGGCTAGAAGAACTCCTGTGCTGATTTTTTGTCAGACTTGATTTTTTCTAAAGATCTTAATGACTGTTCTATTGAATCTTTGATCTCAATTGCTCCGTATTCTCTCTCTCTCTCTCTGTGCTTATCTGTCTGTTTACAGTATTTCTGTTTGTAGCAGATGTTAGATTAATTTACAAGAAAATTGTTTTGTTTCAGGGAAGGATGATAAAATTTAGACTACAGCCAAGCAGCTAAGAATTAAATTTGGATTTTTTTTTTGTCCATGGTAATACCTTTTAACTGTATTTTACCAAGCTTCTCAGACTTCCTTTTCTGGGTAATGATGCTATTTCTGTGAACGTGTCTCTGAGCACACAGGCGTAAGCAATTTGTTAAAGGCTTGCATATGAGAGACTTACATAAGATTTAACATGGGAGGGGAAGGACATTATTATGAAAATGTAAAAGCAGATATTGCAAGATCTGCTTGTATCACTGATACAGACGTGAACAAATTGCTTTGAGTGTCATGTCTCCTATTGCACTGAGCTGATGTTGATGTTAGAAGCCTCAGTTTTGCACAATGCCTGGGCCAGAGTGGGTTTGAACCAATCCTCTGTGCACTACTTTTGAAAATAAGGCCATTAACTAACTATGGGTATGAAGTTAATTATAGAGTCCTCCCTTAAACAACTTGGCCAGGATATTTGTCTTGTATCTTAGCTGAATAAGTCAGATAATAATGATACAAAGTGATCGGGTAAAGACAAAAGAGCAAAGAACCCTTCAGTGTGCCTTGACTGGGGTTAGTTGGAGTTTCACGTAGTTTCTCATCATTTCACAGCGGGGCTCTGAGGCTTTCCAGTGTCACCCCAGAGCTGTGAGCCCAACAGAGCAGCTCCCTGGCTTTGTTGCTGCACTTAATATTTGCTGTGGGGACAAATGGGTTCAGCTCCTCCTTGGTGAGGCAGAGAATGATGTTCTGCCCATCAGTGAATGCCCGTGTTTGCATTGAATTGCTTCCTTAGGCTGGAGATTGAAGTCAGCATCCTTGGAAGGGCTCCTGTAGACTCCAGCGCGGTGACACAGGCAGCTGTTCCCCATGTCTGTCTGTTAGAACTTGTCATTTGTTTCACAGTATGGGAGGTGTGAGAAGTGACAGGACTAAATAAGCACAGAGGGAACGGACTGTTGTATCTGGCCGTGCTAACGAATGAGCTGGGAGTGAAGTTAACTTCATGTGAAGCAGCCTAAATTATTTATTTTCAATCCTGGAGCTGTACTTAACGTGTTGTTAAGGCAGAGCCATGTTGACAGGGTGACATTAATTACCCCACTGGAAACACACCGTGGTAGCTGAAAACAATTGTTCTCAGCTCTCACTGATGGCTCTGGGTACAGCCTCAGCCTGTGCAGAGCCGGCCAAAGTGTCCTCCTCCACCCCTGCATCCACCCACAGCTGTAAACTGGCTCTTTACTTACAGCCACAAAAGATGAGGTTTGATGGTTGTGGGTTTCTTGTGCCCCTCTCTCTCTATTTTGTTTTTTTGTTGTTTTTTTTTTTTGTGAGCTGAGTGACTGTGTGATTGATCTCCTCTCCACTAGACATGGCATGTCTTAAACACATGAGGATGGTCATTCACTGATCCACCAGGCATATGCTTTACTGTTCCTGTGAATCCCACAACTCCCTTAATGATTCAATCCTACTCCTTAATTCATAGCAGGAGTGTACTGTCCAGAATAGGAAGTTATTGTGTATGGGTTTTCCATTCTTTGTCCAGGCTTTGGCTTACACATCCCTGCTGAGAACTGGATGTGACTTGACTAGCATTTGTCTGGATGTAAACTAATAAAAGTGAGGAATTGACTTTTTCCCTCCCTTCTTGTTCAGCGCTGTGATGAGTTAGGGACTCCAAAACGGCCCAGCTGAGAAGCACTGGAATATATCTACAAGTAAATGAATGGCTGGCTCCTTGCAGTTGCTATGTAATGTTTTTCTAGACGCTCCTGGTCCATGGTTAACGCAGCCAGAGATCCTGCTGGGAGAATGCGAGTGAGCAGAGTTTGTCCCCTGAGCTGAGCTCGGTTGGGTAAAACTTGGTGGTAATAACACCAAGGTCAAGGGTTCAATCCCCTGTATGGGCCATTCAGTTAGAAGCTGGACTCCTTGTATCAGAACATCCTGTGATTCTATATCTACAGGTAAAGGAATGGCTGGCTACTTGCAGTTGCTAGGTAATGTTTTTCCAGATGCTCCTGGTCCACGGTTGATGTAATTAGAGGTTTTACTGGGAGAATGCGAGTGTGCAGTGTTTGTTCATGACAGTGTGAGGCTGTGCCTAATGACATCTGCCTCTCTGTTTGTAGGTTAGGCCAAAGACCCTGATTCCAGACAGCCTCCCTATCTCCCCGTGCAGAGACCAACCTTCCAAGCAGCCTCCCACCTTCCAGAAGGCGACCGTAGTGAGCATCAAGAACCCCAGCCCCGCCCTCCCGACCGCCAACAACACTGTCAGCCATGTACAGCCGCCCCACAGCCAGTCCCAGAGCGTCAGCGAGCCCCTGCCCTCCCCTCTGAGCGGTGCAGGGGTGGCCTACGCCATCATCTCCACCTCCCCCAGCAATGCAGCCCCCATCAGCACCAGCGCCGCCGTCTCCGTGGTCAACGACAGCATCAAGGTGCAGCCGCTCCTCATCAGCGCCGACAGCAAGGTGGGGGCTTGTGCTGGTTTAAAGGTAAACCTGCAGGGGACATGAACCCAACTCAAAGGAGAGATTATAAATCAGAATAACAATTTAATAAAATAATACGATAAGTACGATTATACAGACAACAGTTGGGTTTAACCCACAAAACCCAAATGTATAACCCAGCGCCCTGGGGCATGAACAGAGTGGTGTTCTTTGGGCCCCCTGAGTCCAAAGGAAAAGGAGAGGGGAAAAAAACCTGTTGGTGAGAGTGCTGGTGCAGTCTGGTCAAGAGTGGTGATTGCAGTCCAGTCGAGAGTGATGGTTGCAGTCTGGTTGAGAGTGGTGGTCTGCAGTCCTTCTCTGGATCCCATGAATGGTTAAAAAAGTCCCAGGACTCCAAGATTATATATCCTCAGGTTCAGGCAGGAATGCCCAGTCCCTCCCTCAGGGCAGGGAGTTCCACAGGGGGTGTGAGGACAGGAGCACCCTCCTATCTCACAGTTCCACAATGGGTGTGAGGACAGGAGCACCCTCCTATCTCACAGTTCCACAATGGGTGTGNCTCACAGTTCCACAATGGGTGTGAGGACAGGAGCACCCTCCTATCTCACAGTTCCACAATGGGTGTGAGGACAGGAGCACCCTCCTATCTCACAGGCCTCTTAACACCCAGTTTATACCCTGAAGGGTCAGGGCTGCTCTGGGCAGAGGGTGTAAATGGTCTGTTGATAACAGTTTCTGGGCAATGGCATGGAAGGCTCTAGAATACACAGTTCTGGGTTACACCCATACAGTGATGAGCTGGTCCCAGCTGTTCTAACTAGAACAGGGCTTCGCCTCCCCCTGGGCAGCACGTACAGCAACCCTGTGGCAGGGGCAAGCAGGGTGTTCCCCTGGGAGGGCACAGCCCTAGGCAAAGCAGTGGCAGTGGCTCTTCTTGAGGAAAATAATCAGAAAGCAAAGGGAAAACTCTTCAGGGGACACAGAGGTGCTGGGAGACATTTGTCTGTGTACAGGCCTGTTTTTTAGTGGGAACAAAACTCATCATTCTGTAGCCTGACATTAATGGGACCATATGATCTCCCATTTCCTTAAACCAATCCTCACTAATAACATCCCTGAATTCTGTGCAGGCTCAGATTTCCTATGGACTCCCTCTTCAATTATACAGTGATAGGAGTTATATCAGCTGACCCCGGGGGAGTATATAAAATAATCAGGCATTCCCTCCTGCACTTCCAGGGGAACACCAAATGAAATGAGCGCTCGGGGTTTCAAAACTGATCAGCACAGGAATCAGTAGAAGAAAATTCAAGTTATGAATTACTTGTCTCCTCTTTGTACCCCTTTTCAGCTTTGAAATGCAAGAACTTCACCACTCTTACACCAGAAACAGATTCAACAAAGGCTGCCAATGTGCCCAGCAGACATTCACTGTAATTTACTACTGGGATTCCCCTACTTTTGGTCTTGTTGGCAGCACAGGTTCTCATAGAGTGCTAAAAAAGAATACAGGATGTAGGAAGGCCTTTGAGGTAAACAAGAGCAGACATCTTTTCCCCATTTCTTTGCCATAATTTATTTTTCTTTTACTTAAAAAAACTGCTGGTTAAGAAAACCATCCCTTTTTACAGTCTAGGAACTTCTAAAGTGACCAGGCTGAGATAAAGTATCTAACAATTAAATAATATGGATTGAAAGTTAGCAATGAAATAGATGGAAAAGGCCCAGCATTCACATCTAATATTTTTAATATTTATCAAGAAGGTGAGCTTAGAAAGGTCTTCCACAGTCCTTCATGAAGATTTGATTATGGGTATAAACTCACATGTGGGCAGAAATTGTCATTCATTCCTTTTAATTTAATACCTTCTGAGGTAACGTGACCTGCACTGTGTAAATCTTCATGTGGTAATTCAAACATGAGCAGCTGGAGTTACTAACACACATGTGTGTGAATGAGAGATCTGTGTCCTAATTCCTAGAGGTTCTAAACCAGAGCTGGTTTTAATGTAAAACATGTAGTTTATTTTGTTTATGGAAAACTGGGCATCCAGTGCCCATAACACATAAAGGCAGAGGGATGAACTCTGATCTCGGTTACATGAGGAGTGTCTTCCTCCCCATCCACGGGCACTTACTCTGAATAAAGCTGGTTATGAGACTGAGATCTCATAACTGAGATCAGGTTGGCTCTGAATGTGTAGTGATCTCATCTCTTCCACCTGTACACAGAATAAAATCAAAGGAAAGGCCTTAAAATCCCTGCTAGAGCGTGGCTGCTCAGCCAGCTCCAGAAGTCCTCCAAATAGAAAGTGTCCTCATTTTCAGAGACACTGATTGAGTGACTCCCTTAATCTGCTGGAGGTTTGTAATGCACCAAAAACCATTAATTTTTAGAAACTTTAGTATGGATTTAGGAGCCAAACCTAGCTATTCAGTTTTTTTATACTTTTGGCTTGTGACTTGCATTTCTTTTCTGCAGGGGTATGAAGTAACCCTTCAAAGAAGAACCCAAGGTTTCAGGCAGAAATATCCAGTTTCATACAGTGAATTCTCTTATTTGTACATTGTCTTCTAGGTTATCATTATTCAGCCTCAAGTCCAAACCCAGACAGAAAGTAAAGTGGAGACAAAGAAACCTCCTGAAGAGTCAGCTCAGGGACCCCCTGCTACCAAAAAGAAAAAGGAGGAAAATCCAGAGGTGATTTTTTTCTTTTTCGTTTCTAATAAATGAGCTCCAGCATGGTTAAGTTGTGTCACAATATGTAACATAACTTGTAGGTCTCATAATAATCTTGGCACCTTGCAAGGCTGTAGCTGGAGTTCTGGTGAAAGGTGTGTACAAGCTGAAGATATTTTCTTTTGTTATCAAATATATAGCATTGGGTTTACCGGCGGCATATGAGGTGAAATTAACATTTCTTTTGTCTTCTTTGTAATGAATTTTGCAATTTTTAGCTTGTATTTCACAACAATTTCTTGCATTTGCTGTGTCTTCCCACATGTACGCAGATTCTGGTCCGAAACACATTAAAATCCTTCAAACTGAGCAAGAGAGCAGAAGGAAGGTTATAAGATGAAAGAGATTTAATATACTGCATTTTTAATATCCTTAATATACCATTTTTTTAATTTCAGCTAAAAATATAAACCACAAGTCCTTGTAGAAATGGTATCTCTCTTCAGCAGACATTTTGGTTTTTTCTCTGGGTGTACTCACATTAGATTGGGTGTACTTTTGAGGCAGTTTGAGGAGTTAAACAAGCTGAATCTACTGCTACTGTAGAAATGCTCAGCTCATGTGGAATCTTAACCTCACCAGTCTAATAAATGTGTAGCACAAAAGCATCCTTGGAGCTGTAGGCTTAAGAGGATTATTGCAATATAAATTTATAATGTTACTTGAGGCATGTGGGTGGTCATTTGTTTTACCATTTTAAGAGGTTCATATAGTTAAACGGTGTTAAGGATAAATATTTTAGCCCAGAATATCACGGTTTTATGCAGAAGCTCTGCAGAACTACACTTAGGAGACCTCCCAGGTTTAAAATCTGCCTCTCCTGTGAATCTTCACTGCCACTGAATGAGGGGACTGTGGAGTCCTGCTTTTTTTAGGCAGGTATTTCCAAAACCTTATTAATTTGGTAGCACCTTAAGGGCAGAAAGGTCAGTAGATCTTGCTTAAAAGCAGAATGTTAGGAAAAAACATTCATTTTTCCTTGCCTGCAACTTATCTCCATGGAAAGAACATTGTACAAAAGTGTTCCAGAGAGATGCAGGAGGAGATGGTGGGACTGGGCCCACTTTTTGGTATGGCATCCATAAATTTAATGAGCTCTTTTAATTGCTAATTAGACTATCTCAACAACCTTTTTCTGCCCATGAATATTGTTCCTACCCTGTATATCCTGGAGGTCTCAGCAAGCTCTTTTTTCTGGGTAGGGTGCTGATGCCCCTAAATATGACAATTCTTTTCTTTTCATAGATTTATTTCATGGCCATAAATAGGTAGGTCTAGAGTTAATTTCTTTTGTTCTTTGAAAGTAAACTTTAGTTGATTATCATGTATTTATGCAATTAGTGCAATTAGAACTAACAGCATAATTAGTGTAAATACATGTAATGACATAAATAGAACATGTAATTACAAAATGAAATGCTTTTGTGAAAATCTTTGTTTTGCTCCATGAAAAGATGTGCTGTGTGTTTCTGAAAGCACTCGTGGCTTTTAAGCAGATGATTAAATTTAAAGCAAAGAGTAACAAAGATGCCATATTTCTAAAAAGAAAATAGGGGCCCGAGGCACTTCTCTTCAAGCTTTTATTTATCTTCAAAGCACAAAACTGAGGCAGGGACTCCAAGAGGACCCTACGTAGATGTTAATCGGGACAGAATGGGATTTAACAAATTAAACTGCAAATTTACAGCAAACCAACCAGAAACATCCAGACTTACCAGTAGCCAGGAATCCCATCTGCAGGTACTGAGTGGACCTGAATGAACAGAAAGGAGTGAGGATGATCACTGCCTTTTGTTCCTGGCTTGGTCATCCTGCTGGGAAACCACCAAGCTGATCCTGGACAACGTTTGCATTCTAGAAGTTTTTTATCTAAGAGGAAAATTCTTTCTTCTGCCAGTGTTTCTAATCCCACCTAAGAAGTACAAGAGAGGTACATGGCAGTTGTGAACTAAATGCTAATGTTAGGCCTGGATTAAAAAAATGGAGAAACTGAAGTGTTGGTTTTGCAGCTTCCTGAACAGAGGAGAAACAACAGACCCTGTGCTACCTGAGAGGAAAGCACTGCAATGGAATTAGAATTTTGAGTTGAATCCAACAAGCTACAGGAGTGTGAAATAGCCAAACCCATAAAAACAAATATGCTGTTAATATAACATGCTTGTTTAAAAGAATACAGCTTCTACTGGGATTTTTTAAGAAGGAACCAATTTTCAAATCCCTATAAATGTTAACCCTTCCTGTGTTCAATCATGACTTAATTATCAAGTCCATTTGTGATGGCTCTTTATATGTAAAGCTGCCATTACATTTTTAACTAGATATATATTCAAATAATTTTAGCACGGAGAGACATTGTTTAGCAAACACTCCAGTAACTCAGATAATTTCAGCTGGGGCATCAGAAAACGTGTGTTTCCCCTGCAGTTTGATCTTGGGGTAACACAGGCAATTCCGTGCTCCCTTGGGAACACACAGTTGCACGTTAACCATTCCCACTTTGTGGTTCTACACCTGAATGTTGTGATTTCTCCTGCTCCCAGCTCTGAGATTTATCCTGCCACGCTTACTTTTTGATGGGGGTGAGGTGAAGCTTGTAATTCCCCTCAGTTGACTAATTTTCTTCTCAGATCTGCACGGTGGATCTCGGATCAAATATTCATCTTTCCCTTCAGGTGTGGGGCCCCCACTGTGCCTGGCTGGTGTTTTAGGCATGTAAGGAGGGAACATTATTGAAATCAAGGTCTGACATGCAAATGAACACATGCACTTGTCATTAGCACGGCTGTGGAAGGCAGAAATACAGCAGGAACATATACTTCATGCCAGTGGTGAAATTCTACAGCACCATTTTTTAATCTACAGGGAGGGTTACACGCCAGGAGGTTGTGGAAAGAAAATATTCCTGTCTTATGAGGGTGTTGGTTCACCTGTTTGACGAGGATATTTTCACAGATACAAGAGGGGTATGGATGTCCAGTGCTGACCCTCAGGTTCTGAAGGACACACCCAACAGTTAGTTCTTTCCATCTACAAAAGGAGGACGTGCCTGCTTTCAGTGTCACTGTGTGACAGTCACAATTGCAAAGGAAAGCGTAGTTCCAGTGACTTCCTAGCTGATTTTATCCTGAACTGAAATGAGAAGTTGAATCATCAGGCTTTTCACAAAACAAGAAGGTCAAACTAATCTTGGCTTGGAAGTGTTGAAACGTGTTCTCCTGACACTTCTTTGATTGAAACAGAATGTTTTGACCTGCTGCTGCTTAAACACTGTGTTTTAGTTTGACCTGAATCTACACATTTTATTTGGGGTGAGTATTATAATTTCATCTTCCCGTGGTCTTTGTGCACTTCATCAGAGTTGGACTGTGGGCTTTGCTTGCCTGGATTTCCCAACAGGTTGGGTTTCACACTCAGATTGTCCCTCCTGTGGAATTGCACCTCACAAAAATGCCGCTTGGGTGACGTGACCCAACGAGATTGTTCAGCACAGCAGAGAGGGGAAGTGACCCCCGAGGCCCCTCAAGTATCACAGGTGTGACTGAAAACCAAGGACTTCGGTTCAGTTTGGCCTTGGAACAACACAGCAGAATTTCAGTTGTCATCAGAAAGATGGAATAAAAGCTCCAGCAAAACTTTTGCTGCGAGGGAAAATTTCCCAATGAAAAATCCCTGATAGAAAATTTAGAATCTGCTCTAGTGCTTGTCCTGTTGCTGCATCAGCATGTTTTGAAGATTTTTTTAGTATGAAGGTGTGTTTTGTGCATACACAGTTTACAAGAGTTGTAAGCAATATTTTAGGTCAGGTTTCTCATGCAAAATGAGTTCACCAGCATCAGTGGGAGATGTTTGTTCACTCCTCATTAGGGGAAAATATTGGATTAGTGTTCCTTTTCATAATTCATGCACATGGTGTTCTTTTGGTAACTTGGGAAGAGAAATTTCTGATGTATTTTTATTTTGAGAGGAGGGGACTTTCAATATGCTTCAGATGTCTTGTTTAGTGTTGTAAAGCTCAGTGGAAGTTTAATATACCTTATTTTACTTCATACAGCTTGCTCACATCCAATAAAAGCAGTGCCATGTCCAGATAGGAATAATAATACACAATGACCTCTCCACAGAGTGGAGTGACAAGCCAGCTGGCAGTTGAATTGATTTGACTGGCTGGATTTTGGTCCTGGGCTGTATAAAATCAGTAGTCACAAAGCATTGGCTTCAGAAATCTCTGAATTCCTGAAGTTCCTATAGTCCTACAAGTGGGACGTGACTCACCAGGCACATCTGAAGCAAACCTTCAATTAAAGTTCTTCGTATTGCTATGCAATCCAGTAAGATACATTTCCAAAAGACCTTTACTGGGTTTAGTCTGTCAAGGCTAGTTTTATTTATTCACTTACCGTGATCACTGTAGTGGAAAATCTAACCCCTGTTTATTTTTTCCTTAGAAAATAGCCTTCATGGTAGCGTTAGGACTGGTTACAACGGAACATTTGGAAGGTAAGATGGCATGTCTTGTCTTACAGTTCCTTTTTGGAGTGAAATCTTTTCTCTTGGCTGCCCTGAATCTCACAGGATGGCTGAGGTTGGAAGGGAACACTGTAGTCCAACCCCCCTGCTCAAGCATCATCTGCTGTCTCCCATTTGAGATGGGCTTTCAGGTTTTGAGTAGGTCTTGTCATCTTGAGAGTCCCACAGAGTAATGTGTAAAACACTGGTGAAAATCCAGCTCTGGTTTCATAAGGATTTAAGCAAATTAGAAAACTCCCTCTCACAAAGAATCCCTTGCCTCCATTCCCTCCCATTTAGCCAAAAACATATGAAACTTCCAGTCCGATCCCGTGTTTGTGTGAGAGCTGCTCGCCCAACTTCCCAGGCTTCTGAACACGAGTCCAAACAAATCCTGCACAGAAACTAAATGCAGCATCACAGAGCTTTCAGTTTACTTCTCCAGCCTCCCAAAAATACCTTGCAAGGGTTTGCAGATTTGCAGCTTTCTTTGCCTCAGCCTTTGTCAATCCGAAATCACGGATGAAGAGGGGAAAGAATCACGGATAAGAGGGGAAAAATCATGGATGAGAGGGGAAAGACGAGTTGGTTCAGCAAATTTGCCAGTGGTGTGAGAGGAATCAATGGTTTCTTGGTAGAATGGATTATTTCTTATAGAGAGACAATGCAACTATTTTTAAGGAAAACACTGCAGCCTGATGTGTTTTAATTCCATGCTCAGCTCAGACAAATTGCTGGGATTCCACCAGTATGAGGAGAGAAAGGTGGTGTCTGTGTCAGCTGACAGCGATCCTTGGTCACAAAAAATGTTAATGATAATTGACATTTACCACCCATCCCATGGACCACAGTCAGCAAAATGCTTAGGAAGTTCCAGTGTACTCTATGAGTCTTATGGGCTTTGCTTTAGGCACCTGCTCAGGGACCTTGCTGACACCTCCCATTTTACACCTTGATTTCTTTGCACTGAGATTCCCTGTTCCTTGGTTTTAAGCCAGGCTGTGAATTAAGGAAAAAATAGCACCTGAATTGTAAGGTCTCCTAATATATACAGCGGGCTTTCTGTGGGTCTTGTTGCCATTTTTCAATGTCTTTCCTCTTTAAATCTGCATTTGAGAGAATCATTTAATGTCCCAGTGACTGAGAATTTGAAAGCAGTTTAAAGAAACTTTAAGCCATCGGCATTTTTAATCCCTTAATGGTAATGGATTGAAATGGAAATCAAAAAGCTGCAGCAATTTTGGGAGAAGATTTATAATCCAAAAAGTGCAAATGACGACTGGTTCTTGTTTCCTTTGTCTAAGGAAAATAGGACAACATTTGAAATTATGCTGAAGTGCAAATTATGCTTACAACAGAGAGGACTTCATTTTGAATAATTCTTTACCCTTTGATTTTATTGGAACTAATAAATTGTTTGTGTGAATTTAATGCTTATTTTCGGAATGCCAAGTACTGCTCTGCTCTGTTTGTTCAACACTAAGTGTGGACATGCACATTTTGAACCAAACTGCTGCAACGCTGATCCCGCGGAATCGATTCCTGCAGACAAATTCACTTTTTATATTCCTACTAGCATTAAATAAATGGCTCCAACAAAGAGCTATTTGCTATGGAAAGGGTATTTCTTCATGAGAATTGGTGATTATGACTGTCAGAGATGCCCTTATAGCTTTCACATGCTAAAGGTTATTATTTTAGTGCTATGTCATGTTTACGGTTATCAGCCGTTGCTATTTATCAGGAAGAAGAGGTCATTACACAGTTCAGCTTATTTTAATGCTCCTAATGCATTTCTCAATTTCACATTTTTGGAATTAAACTCTATCAAGATTGGGTCATTAAAAGCTTATTCACTCAGTATCATTAACTCACAGTGCTCCTGCTTTTCTTCCTCTTATTCATTAATGTCGTGGAGAAGGGCTTGTGTATGGATTTCTCTGTCTGCCTAACAGCCAGAGGAGCATTCCCTGACTGGAGAAAGAGCTCTGTTCTGCAGAGCCTGAGTGTGAGGCATCTTTTGAGGCCTTTCCCAGTAAATGAACACAGCAGCTTCCACTGACTGACAGTCTGTAAGGGGCAGCTTTCCCTGAAGATAAATTGCCATCACAGGCCTCATGGAATGACCATGGAGAGTGTTTATTGATGAAGGCAGCAGCCCATTGAAGTTTGGCCTCTAACATAAAGCTATCTGCAAATTTATTCATCTTTGTCAAATGTATTACAGTTTAATATTTTTTTCTGCTTGGGTTCTGTTTTTTAAATTAATAAACTAAAGAATGAGGTATCTGAATTCTGTGATGCAGTGTAGGGTTGTAATATACTGAATCTCTTTCTCTAGGCTATTAGAACACCTTTTAGCATTACCATTGTGCTAAAGAGAAAAAGGTAGAAAGCAAAACTTTAAAAGAAGGTACCTTTAGTTCAGGTTGTTCTAAAAATGCACATCTTGATTTACCATAGCAAAATAAAAAAAATGAAGTATTTCCATCTAGGCTACTGAAATGTTTATGATTTAATTAGATAAAACAAATTTAATTCAACTTTCTTACATCCTATTTGGAAGGTACACAACAGTTTTTAGCAGAAGTGGCAAGTAACAAAAGATACCACATCGCTGTATGCTTTTGTTCTGTCCAGGTGTGCTCATTGACAGACCCACTCTTAGATGTATGTAAATACATGGATATTTTTGTTCAGTTTCCATAAATAAAGTGCTGACACCGTGCTCTCCCTTCCTGATGGCTGCACAGGGTGATGCACCTCGAGCTGTTTCAGTTCATTCCTCTCTCTCTTTCTCTCTCTTCCCATCTATTCCCACTGCTGTTCCTTTCCCCCAGCCAGCTTTTCTCTCTGTGCCATGGCAGTGCCTCTCCCAAAGCTGCATTCCAGGTCTCTGCCATGTGTGTGATTCCACCAGGTGTTTCTGTTGCCTTGGTGAGAGCAGGTACCAAAGAGACTCTGTCTTTGACTTGGGGTTGAGAAGGGCAGAGATCTACAGGCCCCCCCGAGTCCTTCTGGGGGGCTCTTGGCCCAGCTGTGTGCACAGAGAGCTGGCTCCAATTCTTTGTTTCTTTTTCTGGGCCGGTGAAAAGTCACAGTGCTGTATCCCTGTGACCATTTCTGGAAGACAAAGCCTGGGCTGCCCCATCTCCAGGTGTTTCCCTGCACCACCACGGGGGTGCTGAGGTGCTGCAAGCCCTGGGTTCACTCGGTGGGTACCTGGGGCTGCTGAGCTGCAGGAACCGCAGCTCCAGCTCACACTGCTGAGACCAAAGAGCCAGCAGAGGGCCGTTCCCTCTGCTTTTTCCAGCACCAAGGCACGTGGTTCCTCTGCTGTGACCTCTCTGTTACCTTTGGGCCTCGAGAGCATTTCCCTTACAAGAACGCTGACATCAAGAACAACCATCTCTCTTCTGGTGGCTCTGACGGGCTGCTGGATGTGTGTCTGACACTCACCCTGCTGCCACTGAGGCCTGATTCCCTTCAGAGGCTGTCAGAGAGTCTGGAAGCTTCAGGATGGAGATTTCAGCACAGACAGATGAGCATTTCATAGGAAAGGCTTTTGCAGCGGGACAGAACCGTTACCCAGACAAGGTCCTCACACACAGTGACCAAGTGTCCAAGACGTGAGTGACAGCACTGACACCCTTCACTGTAGCAATGCTGAAAGTGGTACATGGGAATGATCAGCATTTGCAAAGGGTGCCTGGAAACCAGACCTAGGTGTTGGGAATGCAATTCCCATGGATGATAACCGCCCTGAAAGCTGGACTGTGCCTTGCTGTTGGATTACAGATCGTGCTCCGTATCCCGAAGGCCATTTTCTGGTGCTGAGGATGTTCTGAGATGCACCCATTTAGCTCAGACACTGAGGAAAGATGCCAGACCTTCTGCATAACCAGATGGTGTCCTAAGTTCCTGTTGGGTGTGTTCCTCTGGGCTGAAGGACTGGCTGCTGCCAGTTCCTCTCCTTCCGAGATTTGCTTAGGGCAAGACAGAACAGAGGTATCACCACTGAGGGGGCGTTTAGACCAACAGGATCCCTCTGGCACCTCAACACCAAGTCTAAACATATAATATTCACACAGGAAACATTTTGGAATAGAGCACACACTTCAAGTCTTGGGATGGATGCTGGGGAGCTCTCCTTGCTAAAGTATGTCTGCTCTTCATTGTCAAAATAACGGGCTATAGAAGACGTGCTTGTAATAAATCTCACCAGTCTGAACTGATGTCAAGAGCTGGAGAAAGAAATTCCATGTGATGTAAATGGAATCCCAGCTCAGATAAAAATAGCACTAAACCTGCAGGCTTCTGTGGTTGAGTAATCTGCTCCCTCTTTCTGTGTGTGTTTACAGAGGGATGCACGTGGCTGATGGTTGCTAAACGCTGTCCTCAGCACGAGCTGCCCTGGATTGGTGTTACCATTTTCTAGAAGGGAGTACCCCTGTGTGTCACCCTTCTCTGACCAGGGCTGCAGCCCAAAGAGCCCATCGTTGTGCTGCTGTTTGCAGTGGCACAGATACGTGCACAGCCCATAACAATTGACATGCTCAGGGTTATAAAGTTGTATGGTTTTGGGTGGACAAATCATCACGCTCTAGTTAGAACTGAATCTAGCCATGGCATCCCAGCCATGCTTCCTCCAACCTCCACAGAGGAAAAGCAATGCAAATTGAATTAAAAAAGGATCTCTCTGCTTTCATATGATGGGAATTACAAGGCTTAATTGCTTTAAATGCTTCCTTTTTGTTAGTAGCAGACATCCGGAGTACTTTGACAGCTCTCTGACGATGCTTGCTGAATAGGTGTCTGAAGGGATCATAAAAAATCTTGTAGGGCAGCAGAAGTCCACCTTGAAGGAAGGAAAAAATAAAAAATGCCTGTGTTCTGAATCTCACAAGGAAAACCTTATTAATGTCAAACCTTGAACTGCAGCAAATATCAATGCTGATGCAACCCAATTATACTTTAGAAACCGAAACTGAACACAAAGCCCAGGGGGTTGAGGGTAAGAGCATCTCGCTTAACAAGTTAGATCTGCATTTTCCCCTGATGAATGAGAAATCCACAATTCCTGTTTCTTTCCATGGTTACAGAAATCCAGAGCAAGCGTCAGGAAAGAAAGAGAAGAAGCACAGCCAATCCAGCCTACAGTGGACTCTTGGAAACAGAGGTACTTTATCATTCACTGTTTTTGCCACAGTTCTGTTTCATGTCAGTAAAAGGTCTAAGTGCTTCTTATTGCAAAAATATATATGAATGCAGAACCACACAGTTACTTGTAAAGACTTATTGATGTGGAAAAGAAAGAAAAGATCTCATCTCAGTAGCTAAGCAACAGGTTTTCACCCCAACAACATCACTTGCTTCAAACTAGAATTCATCTTAGTTTTAATAAAGGCCAAAAGGACTAAATTAATGTGGGACCTGACTACTCTTTCACCCACGCAGGCAGTCCCTTTAGGTCAGAACTGAAGAACAGAAGCGCTGCATTATGTTCAAACTTGCATTGCTATTTCTCTTTTCCTATGTGCCAAATAATAAATGGAGAACTTCACTTTTTTTATTAGTGGCATTCATAAAAGGGATGTGTTGGTTTAAGAATCAGTGTGCTCTGCAGGGGGTTTAGAAACCTGCATAATAAATATAATAATGCATAATTAAAAATAAAAATGCTCTGGATAATATCTGTTGTCTGTTACACTTATAGTAACATCAGAATTTGGTCCTGCATAATATTGGATTGCAAACCTGCTGTAAAAGCAGCATATAAATAGGCTTAACTATATAAATAGGCTTAACTTTTTCTGAAATTTTTCTTTGTTTCTGAACTGACTTATATACATTTATTCAGCTAATGAAAATTTCACCCTTAAAATTTCAGCACAGTTTGGGGTTGCTGTTTGAACTTCCTACTGAAGTGAAGCTCATTTGCAGCCAGCTCTCCATTTAAGCAGAATTTCTCTGTGTTCTGAGTTCTTAAAGCCTAAAGAAAGTGATTTTTCTTTGTTTAGGTACAAGCCATGCAGTGTTTTTGGTTTGCTAACAGTTCAGATTTCTGCCTTTGTTGGCAGACAGCAGACAGACGAGGCCAAGAAGAAACCCACCTCTGTAGTCGAGCTGCTTAGTCACCTTTTTTTGAAAGTATTGGAGATTTTTATACTCCAGAGCAGCACTTGAATTCTTCAGAACTCAACTCTTCGGTGCCAATACTGATGTCCACACACCCAGTATTTAACACAGTAGGAACTTAACCTTGCTGGCATTTAATTTGAAGTGCCTTAGACCTTTTTGTCCTGATAAAATTTTGAAAACACTTGCAGCAGAGTTTTGTGGCTGCAAATGGGTGTTTGTGAGAAACTCAGTTATCTTGGGGCAGAGGTGGAAGAGAAGATGGAGCAGGTCTGCTGCACCCCTGGTTCATCCTTCTCATGGTATCTGCTCTCAAAAGCATGTCCTGAAGTGAAGGATGGAGTGGAGGAAGGAATGTCTGTGGAGGAGTCCTGTGGCTGATCAGCTGTGTCCTCATTAGGAGCTGTCATTAAGGGCTGACCATGGGGAATGCCATCCCAGTACAATGGAGGCAGATGGTTCTTCTCTGATCAATTAGCTGCTCAGATTGATTTGCTAATCAGTGAGTTGAGGTATTTGTGGCATTCCAGGCATTTTGGCGCAGTTTAATTTAGTCTTCTGAATGATCTTTAATTCATGATTGTTTAAATTGGAATTGCATATAAATTAGACTTTTTATTTGCCAACGCCCCTCGGAACGGCAGGAGCTCAGCATCTGCACTGGTGCTGACTTCCTTGATTGCAGAAATGGGATCATGCTCTTATGTCTTCACTTGAATGTTGTGTTTCTTCTTTTCAAAGCTTTGCTCCTTAAAAAAAAAGTGAGATACCATTCTATTTCCCTACCCTCAGTAGCCTTTTTTTATTTTTCCATAGAAAGGGTAAAGTTTCAGGCTTGTTAATTTTTTTTGAGAAAGAAACATCTATTCAAAATTCATTTAACAGACTGGCAGGCACCCATGTAGAAGAGAACCGTTCACTCACTTCAGAATAAATCATTTGTTAGCAAAACCCCTCTAATTTTCCTCCAAGCAGAATCTAACAACATCTAATGGAGGGAAGTGGTGCTGTTCCCAGTCCTGCTGTACAAGTATTGGATGGCTCAGAGGGACAATCAGGGCTTGTACAGACTGTTGATGAAGGCTGGTTTGCTCTAGAGCAGCAGCTCGTGCCATCTGATGGGTTAAACATCTCAGCCAGGTTTGCAGTGGCCTGTGTTTGTAACTTTGGTGACCTCAGCAGGTTGAAATCACTGTCAGCTCCTCCAGGTCGTGCAGGTTCACTCCTGAAAGGGAAATGTTCTGCTTACAAACATTGCTTGCAAACTCAGCCTGTTCCTCTGAACTGCAGGCAGGTGTCACAAAGGTGAAGGCAGTTTTCCTGCAGGTGGGAGGTCCATCACCATTTCTATGTATTCAAATAAAGATGTCATGTCACAACAACAGTTTATTACGCCGTTTTCCCCCTTATGGATATCCTGAAACCCCATCAATAACATTTGCAATTCGGATTTCTCATTTAATGCACATCCAACTGCTCCGTGAAGAGCTTGCTGGGAAGGTGAATCGTGCAGCTGTTTGTTTGACTGTCCCCTTGGCCAATCCAAGTGGCTTTTGGAGAGCTGGTTGGGTGTGAGGGAAGCCCGTGGAGATGGTTAATGTGAAATGTGAGGGGCAAGGAGAGCCCTTTGCAGTGACACTGTGGTTGGTTTCTCTCCCCCTGTAGCGGAAACGCCTCGCGTCGAATTATTTGAATAACCCCTTGTTCCTCTCGACAAGAGGTAAGCACATTTTAAATGGATATACTGCTATTCTAATGACATGTTAAATATTTATTAGTAGGGTTTCATCTGACTTACTGCCAGGATACCAGAGGGCATTACTTTGTGTAAGGTCCCTGCACTTTTTAGTGTGGACGGAAAATAGATGGTTTTCCTGCAGAAACAATTGAAGGATAAGGCTGAAGGTCACAGTCGTGTAGAAATGGATCCAAAGTCTCTGCAGTCAGAGGAAAATCTGATCTCTGGTGGTGTAAGCACCACGTAGTGAGAGAACTGATTGAAGAAGGCAGTGTTGCCAACGCCAAGTCCTTAAAAATATATCTTGAAAAATTGGGGTGTAAAAAATAATTACTATTTTTGGCTTTTCATTTGCTTCTTTTCACCAGCTTTAAGGAACTCCTGTCCACCCTCAAGGGCTAGAAATTTCCCATATCTTTTGCTTTAAAAACAGTGACAGAAACCCCCATGGTTTTTCTGATTCCAAGATTCTGATTTACCAGCTGGAGCTGGTAAATCTAGATTTGATGACCTTGAAGATTCCTTCCAATCTTGCATTTATAAGAACTTCAGGTTCTGAAAATTTCACTGTAGAAGCCTCGAGAATTAACAGCTCAGGGGAGCCATTTGGGGATGCTGCTGATGAGCTGGTGGGAAGAAGCCCATCCCAGGAAAAACGTGCAGCACGGAGGAGGGAAAGAGTTGGGAGATGAAACACAGAGAACATTGGGTACAGTTTAACTCTTCAGGCAAGCCCATGTAGTATTTTAAGGAAACAAAAAGAAACCTGAGTTGCATTTCAGCAGAGGAGAGGAAGCCAGTAAAGAAATGTGATTCTGCCCTTGCCCTTGTTTTGCCTTTGTAACTCACTCTACTGTGGTGCATTGGAGGGAAGGGAAGGCAGATGTTTTTCTAAGTGAAATATTATTTCAGTATTAGGAGCATTTACAGGGGTAATTACAATTAAGACGTGAAGTTTTGGCAGTTTTTCAGTGTTTTGCTTGACATCCCTGCCAGGTGTCACGTTTAGTGCTTGAGGTTCACCTCTGTGGCCCTGCCTTGAATTCCTGCACCACAGGAGCCCTGGCTGAAATGCAGCAGCGCTTCTCCCTCCCTTCAAAACTTCCCCTGCCAGATGCAGGCACTTGCCCTACTTACCATATGCCTCTAATGTGTGGGGTCTCAGAGGACAGGAGAGGTTATTGCACAGTAAACAGCTCTGATGACATCCCTCTTAGCAGGAGCCCAGGCTCGTGTGAGCCCCACCGGAAGGAACATTATTCCTGGCTTAGTTTTATCTTCAAAATTAAAATTGTAATTTATTATTTGTCTTATCATAGCACTTGTTTTACCCATGTAAACACATGTGAAAAGCCAGGAGAGGATGGTGATGTTGGCAAGCCGTGCTGGAGCCCCTGGGTGGGTTTTATTTAGGTTGGGGTTTGAAATCTCTGACCTTCTTTCCACCATACGATTCCCATTTTATTTGCAAGGAAGTAGACAAGTGTCAGAGCTCCAGTGATGCAGCTGTCTCAGAGCTGCCTGGAAATCAGCACTCTCTCTCCTTAATTGTTAATTCCTCTTTGTAGTCCTGTATCTTTGTTTTTTTCCAGGATGCAGAATCTCTGCTGGGATTCTGCATATTCTGAGAGTTTTAAGCTGCATTTCTTTATAGCAGAATTCCCCATGTCTGCAGGGTGTTTTTAGCCATATGCACCACACTGGATGCTGTGCAAGCTCTGAACTGCAGGCAGATGCTGTCCCAGACAGTTCTCCACCCTCAGTGCAGAGATGGCTGCCCCTTCTCTTATAAACTGCTTCTTCTTTAAAAATATTGCCTTCTGTTTAATTTTTCATCAACTCGAAGGCAGAAGTGGATGTATTTTAAAAAGTTTAAAACTTTGTAGCAAAAGGAAAAAATCCCCATGACGTCCAGGAAACAACTGTCATTTCTGGAAATGCAGAAGGAGGAACAATTCTTGTAAATTTTGATCAAAATGTCAATTAATCAGGATTCATTTGTCTGAAAACGTCTTACCTGAAATGAGGTCGTGTCCCCTGACATGTATCATTTGTAGGAAAGACTCTTCAATTATCAAGCCCCTGTTTATCTGAATAACATTTATATCCCCCAAGTAATCGTGGTGTCGTATCGTGGTGGCTCTCTGTGTGTGTATTTGGGGATATGAAGTGACATCTACAGATTTTATTGGTCTCTGATTGTTTATGGAACTCTTTGCCAAAGTATTCTACAATTCTTGGGGAAAGCAGAGAAATTTATGGAAGAAAAAAAAGTCTATCAAAGGCTGTTAAAGATAAACATGAAGATGACTCCCAGGTATGAGGGATCACACTGGGCAGCTGCATTCCCATTGGGATCGGAGAGGGAGCTGAAGAAGGACAGAAGGAGGGAAATATCAGTTTGGTTTCTTCTCTTTAGTCCAAAGAAAGGCCTCTCCATCAGGTGTTTGTCACTGGGACAGTGTGCAGTGTGCACCAGCCTCGGGCAAGGACCCGAGGGAATGGCTGGAGCTGTGTCAGGGCAGGGTCAGGTTGGATCCCAGGAAAAGGTTCTTCCCCCAGAGGGTGGTTGGCACTGACCAGGCTCCCCAGGGCAGTGGGCACAGCCCCAAGGCTGCCAGAGCTCCAGGAGGGTTTGGACAATGCTCTCAGGGACAGGGTGGGATTGTTGGGGTGTCCTGGGCAGGGGTTGGAATTGGGCTGGATGATCCCTCCAGCTCAGGATATTCTATGAATCCATGATTCTGTGAAATTAGCGGCAAAAATCACAACCTGCTGTCTGGTTTCCACAGAGCTGTTCACGCGTTCCAGCTTTTTTTATTTTTGGACCGAAGTGTGATGAATCCCACCAATATTTTTTTTATGAAAGGCTTGGCCTGGTTTTAGTGGGCTCTGATGGTTGGTGCTCTTATCAGGCTGTGAGTGCAATCACTACAGACTCGGTTCATCAAAAGGTCACTGGCCTTTTGGGGGGGAGTATTTTGATGAGGAAGAGCTGATGATACCACCAGGCTCACCCCCCAGTTTTGGACCACTTTGGCCACGAATCAGCTGAACATGTAAACATGTGTTTAATGGTGAGAGGCACCCATTTCATACTCATGTTAAGTGCCTTGCTGGTTCAGGGCCACGCTGCTCATCCCCCAGCAGGCTCAGGTCCCTAAGGAACACTTTTTCACTGCTGTGGAGAAGAGCTCTGGGTGAAAATGTCTGAAAATTTGAAATAGAATTACGTGCTCATCAGACTGTGACCCTTTAGCACCAGAACCTCTGGACGTGGGATTCCTGCAATGCACAGTTTTAAATCTCAAATGCTAATTCCACTGCTTGCTGTTGCATTCTTTCCTGCCCATGTGAGTTTTGGCAATGTCCTGGTTTCCTGTGTCACAGCCCGACTAAAATTGCTCCCCTAGCTGAGAACCAGCAGTCACTCCAGCAATGTATTTGCCACTAATCTGTTCTCTGCCCTTCTTTTGTATGCTAGCAAATGAGGATCCGTTCTGGAAGGTATGTGCAGTCAAGTTTGTGTATTAGCAGTGTCTTCCTCATCACTGTGTAATTCAGTGCTTGCTTCTGATTATTGTAGGTGCTGCCAAGGTACCAAATTTCGGTATCCTCGTGTCCCACTTAACTAAATCTTTGATCCCCTAAGCTAGAATTTCAGAGGTGAACTCTTTCATATGCAAGGCTTGAGTTTAATCCTTTTGTAGAAGCCACTGATTGAGAAATTGCTAGCCCAGATTTGTGGGTTTAATGAAAATTTTAAGAAAAATGAGTAACCGTTCTAGTTTCTAGAGATTAAATCTCTTTACCTGGAGGTTAAAATTAAGATTTTCGGAGTTTTTAAAGAGTAGTATTTTGGAGATTGATTTTTTTTTTTTTTAATAGGACTGAGTTAGAATTTAAGATGTAAGCCTGACTAAAACCATCATGAAACATAATTAATATTCCTAAAAATGAAAATATGCTTTTGGAATTAACAAACATATAAAATTATTATTCTCCTTCCTGGCAAACCAGTAGGAAATTTAGGGTTTTTTACAATGCCTGAAAAGACATGAGAGTTTCAAAATCAGTATCTCCTTTATTAAAATGCACTTAATTATACAAAGAGTAATTAACGTTGCCACCAGATTAGCATAGCAATTTACTACATGACACTGTAACTTTGTTGATGAGTCTTAGTTCATTTTATGTGTTGCTTCAGACAAAGCACTAATCAGTCTTGTTGGAGAAAGGTTGTCAGAGCAAGTCTGAGCAGAGAACAATTAGTGCCAGGGAGAAGAGAGGAGGCCTCGGGAGGAGTTCCCGAGGAGGGTACGGAGCCCAGGGCTGTGCTCTCCCCAGCTGCTCCTCGAGGCAGTGGGCATGACACAGGGAATGTGCCTTTTCCCCAAGAAAAGAACCCTTTTCTTGCTTGTTCCCTTCCGCTTTGGAGTCGAAGGACAAGTGATCCCCAGGTGAACTTTGTCCTGTGCTTCAGAAGAGAGACACAGAGATGCTCGTGTCGGAGTGACACACTGGCAAAAAAGAAGTGCAATAATTCCCGTGCCATGAGCTGGCTACATTAGTCAGCTCCCCTCCTGTGTTTGATTAGTTGGGTTTTATGTTTCTCTTTCAATTTATGGAACTTGTTTCTGGCTCTTTGGTTTGTTTGTTTGTGTTTGTTGTTATCATACATTATTTCTCTCTCCTGCAGAGGTCAGGGTCCCTTTGACGATTAGATTCTGTGTTTGAAGGGGCCTGTCTGCTGCAGTAGAGGCTTGGGGTGCTGTACAGAGAGAAATTCTCAAGGGCTGAGCTTACCCAAGCCACCCTTCTTCTCTTGCAGAGTGAGATCCACCACGATGAGCACTGCACTGCTTGCAAGCGTGGAGTTAACTTGCAGCCCTGTGGCACATGTCCCAGAGCATATCACCTCAACTGCTTGGACCCACCCCTCAAAACTGCCCCCAAGGGGGTCTGGGTCTGCCCAAAGTGCCAACAGAAGGTGAGATGCATGGAGCGTGGCATGCCAAGGAGGGAAAATGGGACAAACCTCCAATTTGTGAACCACTAAACTGATCTAACCCATGGTCCCAGCTTAGGGGACTGCATTAGCTGCAGAAGTACTGAGAGGCTTTTAGCACAGCTTGAAGTATTTATTTCTGGTATTTTCATCGTCCTAGACTTAGTTTGCCTGTAATCACATCTGCTAGGAATTGTCCTTTTAAAATGTCCCTTCGATTCCTTTAGCTTTACAATTTTTTTTTACAACACCACCACCAGCATTGCCTGACAAGGACTGTAAACCTTGGAGAGGAGGGAGGCATTGTCAGTTCACCAGTGGGTCTGAAAGCTGTGAGGAGAACACTTCCTTTCCTTTAAATCA